CGAGTACAGCTGAGCGTGGACTCACAGTGTGGAAGCTGACCATCTCCTGCAGGCCCTGGTGGAACTGGTTCAAGCAGGTCTGAGAGGAAGGAAATAGGAAGTCAGACAGGAAATGCCCCAACACCCCACCGAGAAACTGAGTAGACATGTTAGGTCATTAGTCCTTCCTGGCTTATTAGCTGGTAGTGTTAGATAAATGAACTCAGAGGAAACAGAGCAGACGTTGTGGGGCGTCAGGAGCTGAAAGTACGAACGGATGGACGAACGGATGCGGCGATTTCTTTGTTTTTCAGATGCATCGAGGAGCTGCTTACTGTGATCACGCTGTCCTTCGTCTGATTGGTGCACAGCTCAGCTAGGCCGCTCAGCAGCAGCTTATTGGCAGTGCTGTACGCTTGTCCCGCCTCTACCATCTTCCCACACAGCTTCATCACCTGATTGTTTAGAAACAGACAGTACAGACCAATCAGCTTGCCTCACTAGTAACAGTTAGCTTCTAACAGTACTTCATCAGTACTAGTGAGTATACAGCTGTATTAACAGTATTTGTAGTACTACTATTAGCTGTGAAATTACAACTAGTATCGTAATAGTATTAGCTACAGTATTTGTACTGTCAAGCAGTATTAGCGCTAGCATATGCAGTATCAGTAGCCTAGTACAAATAGTACTACCACTATTTGTAGTGGAAGTAGTTGTATCTTGTCTCCATGCGTCTCTAACAGTTTTTATTACAGCAGTAGTGGTAGTAATAGTAGTAACAGTAGTAATAGTAGTAATAGTAGTAACAGTAGTAATGGTAGTAGTACTTGTACCTTGTCCAGTTTTGTCTCCAGCTGTGAAACATCTGTTTCAAACTGATCCAGAGCCAGCCTGAATAAAATAAATAAAGCGTCATCGCTACAAGTGAACATGCGCAGATTGGTGTGTGCGTGCGCGCGCTTACCTGAACTCAGGTGAGTCTTTGACGCAATCCTCAAAGTCCAGCAGGGAGTCCATGACGTCACCCAGCAGTCCCGTGTCCCTGTAGTGAGTGCGAGTGTAAATAAAGTTAGCTGCGGTGCTTCATCCTGCCGTTAGCTCCGCTCTAATGAATCATTTTTAAACACGCGCCGGGGACGTGGACGGACTCCTTCACGCGCCTGGTCCACAACCTCACAGCGGGTGGATCCATCGCGCGCAGCACACGCGCCCCGGTCGGCCCTCCATATTGGCGCGGTTGAGATCAGAGAGTAACTAACCCGGGTCAGCCGCTGTTCTCGGACTAACAGCTGTCCCGCTGCAGCCCGCTGTTGTCAGACTTGTTGCTAACCGACAACGTCCGCCTAACATCCGCTTTGTTTGGCTCGGAGCCAGCCGACAGTCACAGCAACTGCAGCGACCCCCAGCGGCCCGGGGCGGAACCACACCTACCGTGCCCGTTATTTAGGGCTGAGTTTCGTCGCTGATTCGATTCAGTTTTGACAGTCAGAAATATTCTAATTCTGATCATTTATCAGTACTTATCCA